CGCAATGAAGAGTGGCCCCCGCTCGCCGCAACTAGGGAAAGCCCTCGCACAGAAACGAAGACCCAACACAGCAAAAATAAAAAAAAAATAAAAAAAAAAGAAATGGTGCTGTAATTACAAGTCTCCCCACCCCTTCATGGTTGATCAGACAGGTGTCCCATGGTGCCTGCCCTGTGCATCGTCACAGCATCCCCCCCCCCCCGCCCCCATGGGCGGGAGAAGTTATCCCAGGAAACCTGCCTTAGGATGTCACGTGGTCCTTGATGATACATTCTCAACCTGCCCTGGCCAGGCCCCTGTGGTGCTGGGTATGTGGCAATTCTGGGACACATGGAGATTCTGGGTTCATGGAGATTCTGTCCATTAGGAAGCAGGAAGGAAGAGGAGGAAGAGGCTCCAGTAGTGGGGAGAAGTGGGAGGGGAGGAGGAGAAAGCCCTGGGCTGGGTCTCAGTGATCCGACAGGTGGCGGTTGGGTCAGGCTGAGGATGTCTAGGTGTTCCAGGTCCAGGGGTCCAGGTCCAAGGGGTCCAAGAGGTCCAGGGGGTCCAGGTATTCAAGGTCCAGGGGGCATCTAGGAGGTCCAGGGTCCAGGTATTCAAGGCCCAAGGGGTCCAGGGGGTTCAGGTCCAGAGGATTAAAGTCCAGGTCATCCAGGTCCATGGATCCAGGTTCAGTTGGGTCTAGATGGTGGCCCAGGTGGTCTAGACGGGCCAGATCCAGTCGGGCCATGGCTGGGAGGAGAGGCAGCAGCCAACAGGGGCGAACAGTGTGAGACTTGCCTGGCCCATGCCCATGTGGGAGGAGGGTGGAGCCCAGGACAGCCATGAAGGGTACTGAGAGGATACTGTCGGGGGATGACAAGACCAGGCCCAGGAATGGGTACAAGGGCTGGATGTAGAGAACATCAGGTGGACTTTCAGAGCCTGTGGTGGGGAGCCTGTCAGTGAGCTGCGGGGAAAAGATGCCTTTGGAACAGGGCAGCCAGTGGGAGAAAGGAGCATAGGTTGCTTTCTCATCATCTGCCTCTACCTCAGCCTGAGAGCCTGCATTCCCTAAAGTCACTAACTGCGGGCCTGCACAGCCCTAGACCCAGGGCTGCACCTGGGTTTGGTCCCCTACCGTGTTACTGAGCAGGTCGATGACTTTCCCCGGTCACAGTGGCACAGTCTTGTCGGGCTGTTGCAGGGCTCGGCGAGCTGGACCACACTTAGGACAGGGCACTCAGTGGACATTGGTCAGTACTGAAGCGGAGGGAAGCCGGGCAAGGAGGTGTCATGGCAGGTGTCACGGCTCCATTTCCAGATAGGGAAACCGAGCCTCAGAGAGGAGAATGAGTGCGTCTGGGCTGGGGAGCAGAGCCACGGGGCTGTCTGACTCCCCTCTGACTCTTGGTTTCAGCGCTCCCATTTTCTGTCTCTTACTCTGCAGATTGCGGGCCTGGGTCTCGCATCACCCACCTGGAGCTTGTCACAGATTAGCATCTTGGTGCCCCAGGCCTGCAGGGTCAGAATCTTCATTGCACAAGATCTCCACGTGCCTGTGTGCACGTAACTGGGAGCAAGCATTGCTCTTCCCACTTGTTCTCGGCTCTGACGGCACGTTGGAATTATGTGGGCGTAGGGGCAGTTTAACAAACACCGATTCTTGGTCCCTGTCTCAGGGCCTGGGCTGTGGCCTAGGTGAGTCTGGTGTGCGGCCAAGTCAGACACCTCACGGGGTCACCCTGAGAGACTCAGTCTCTTAAATGATATTATATCAATTCACGTATAGCACAAGAACCTTCCATTTTTGCCCTTTATATTATCACTGTCATACATTTTATTTAAACTCAAGTTGTAAATCCACAATACATTATTTATTTATTTTTATAAATTTATTTGTTTACTTTTGGCTGCGTTGGGTCTTCGTTGCTGCACGCGGCCTTTCTCTAGTTGCAGCGAGCGGGGGCTACTCTTCATTGCGGTGCGCGGACTTCTCATTGTGCTGGCTTCTCTTGTTGTGGAGCACGGGCTGTAGGTGCGTGGGCTTCAGTAGTTGTGGCTCACTGGCTTAGTTGCTCCGCGGTATGTGGGATCTTCCCGGACCAGGGATTGAACCTGTGTCCCCTGCACTGGCAGGTGGATTCTCAACCACTGCGCCACCAGGGAAGTCCCCACAATATGTTATTGTTTTTGTTTTCACAGTCAGTTATCTTTAAAAAGATTTAAATATTTAGAAACAAATTTTATATATTTAATCCTAGAGTTACAATTTATGGTGCTCTTCATTCCTTTGTGAAGATCAATATTTACTTCTGATGTTATTTTCCTTCTCCCTAAAGGAAATTCTTAAATATTACTTGAAGTTTGACTGTGCTTGTAATACCTTCTTTCAACTTTTGAATGTTTGAAAAAGCTTTTATTTTTTTATTTTTATTTTTTTTGCGGTACGCGGGCCTCTCACCGTTGTGGCCTCTCCTGCTGCGGAGCACAGGCTCCGGACGCGCAGGCCCAGCGGCCATGGCTCACGGGCCCAGCCGCTCCGCGGCATGTGGGATCTTCCCGGACCGGGGCACGAACCCGTGTCCCCTGCATCGGCAGGCGGACTCTCAACCACTGTGCCACCAGGGAAGCCCCAAAAGCTTTTATTTTTTAAAAAAGCTTTTTGAGATATAACTCACATACCACACATTCACCCATTTAAAGTATATAGTTCAGTGTGTTTTAGTGTATTTACAGAGTTTTGCAACTGTCACCACAATCCAGTTGGGAACATTTCATCACTCCTAAATAAATTCCATGCTCATTAGCAGTGATGACCCATTCCACCAACCCCCTTGGCCTTAAGTAATCTAATCTGCACTCTGCCTCTATACATTTGGCTATTCTGCAGATTTCGTTAAATGGAATCATACAATATGTGGTATTTTGTGACTGGCATCTTTCACTTAACATAATGTTTTCAAGGTTTATCCAAGTTGGAGCACATGTCGGTATTTCATTCTCTTATGGAAAAAAATTACACTACTGCATCTAGTAGTGTAACTGTGGGGTCATAGAGTAATTGTATTTTTAACATTTTGAGAAACTGCCAGGAAACTATTTTTCTTTTTTCTTTTTTCTTTTTTTAACATCTTTATTGGGGTATAATTGCTTTACAATGGTGTGTTAGTTTCTGCTTTACAACAAAGTGAATCAGCTATAAGGAAACTATTCTTCAATGTGGCTGCATCATTTTACGTTTCTACCAGCAGCATATGAGTGTTCAAATTTCTCCACATCTTCACCAACATTTGTTAGATCTTTTTTTTTCTCCCCTCCCCTCCCCTCCCCCCACCTCTCTTAGATCTTTTTGATAATAGCTATCTTGTGGGGTGTGAAGTGATATCTGACTATGGTTTTGACTTGCATTTCTATGATGGCTAACGATGTTCATTATCTTCTCATGTGCTTATTGGTCATTTGTGTATATTTTTGGAGAAATGTTTATTCAGATCCTTTGCCTATCTTTAAATGGGTCATTGCTCTCTTTTTATAGAGTCATAAGAGCTCTTCATCTATTCTAGATACAAGCCCCTTATCAGAAATATGATTTTCATACATTTTCTTTCATTCGGTGGGTTGTCTTTTCACTCTCTTGATGGTATCTTTTGAAGCACAAAAGTTAAAAAATTTGATATAGTTCACTTTCTGTCTTCTTCTGTTGTTGTTTGTGCTTTTGGTGCCATATTTAAGAAGACTTTGTCTTATACAAGGACACAAAGACTTTCTCCTTTTATCCTAAGAATTTTTATAGTTTAGCTCTTACATTTAGCTCTCTTATATGTTTTGAGTTAATTTTTGTGTAAATTGTGAGGAAAGGGTCTAACTTTATTCTCTTGCGTGTGTATATACAGTAGTTCCAGCACCATTTGTTGAAAAGACTATTCTTTCCCTGGTGAATTGTCTTGGTACATTTATAGAAAATAATTTTATTCTAAAATGAAGGTTGATTCTTGGACTCTCAATTTTATTCCATTGATCTATATGTCTACCCTTATGCCAGTGCCACACTGTCTTCATTATTGTAAGATTATTGTAAGTTGTGAAGTTGTGAGTCCCACATAGGCACACATACACCACATACACACAGTAGGGCAGTGTGAACATAGACACACACATGTACAAACACACATACCACACAGACATACATATACACACAACACACATACACACATCAGGACACACACGGCAGGGCAGTACACATATATACATACACACATACATACGTCAGGGTACACATGGCAGGGCAGATATACCTACACACACAACACACACAGATGTGAACACAACACACACACACCAAGACACACACGGCAGGGCAGCATACACAAAGACACACACACACACACACACACATAGATGCACACAAATACATATATCAATACAACATACATACTCCAGGACATGCACAGCAGGGCTTTCTCTTGATTATATGATGGGAGCCAAAGCTGGAGGTCATGAGAGGGAAGATTACGAGGAGGGGAACTGACCCCTGGAAATCGGGTGCCTGGAGAGGGTGGGGGACGTGTCCTGAGGGTCAGACAGGCGGGTGTTCCCAGTGGGAGGAGGGTGTTCTCTGGGGGTGGAGGGGACAGGAAGTGTTGGGAGCAGAGTTCAGGAAGAGTGATGAGAAATCCTGGGGCAGGGGTCCTGCCAGACCCCAAGAGTGTTCAAAGGCCTGGCCGCTGGTGCTGGACCCTGCAGCCCTCAGCCCCTGGCCTCCTGGAGTTCAAGGGGGTGGCTTTGACAGGGTGGGCAGTCCTTACTGTCAAGGGGCCTCTGTCGCTGCCCAGAGGCCTGGGACTGTCATCAGACTCTCAGAACGCTTCCTGGGACGTGCTCCAGGTGCCCTCACCCTCGAGGTGCAGTGGTCGCCCCTGCTCCCTGCCCCCACCCAGCCCGGACTCCGTCAGCCCTCAACCTCTCCACTCCCGGGAACCCTGTCCCTCTGCATGCTGTTCTCTTACCTGCTTCTTCCCATGCCGCCCTGGGAGGCCACGGGCCCTCTGGGTCCCGTCTCCTGGATGCCTCCAAGTGGGTCACTCTTTCTGCACTGGCTTCAACCTCCCCGGGTCACATGGAGGTCAAGGTGAAGGAGGAAGACCCCAGCTGGCCTTGAGGGACATCAACAGGAGCCCTTCAAGGCTCATGCCAGCAATTCCAGCAGCGCTCACGGCTGTCTCCTCTCTAGGCGAGTGTCCCCCAGTGGGCGGCTGCAATGAGAAGCGCATGCTGGCCATGCTGCCCCACTGCGGCCAGACCTTTGCTGAAAGGATGAAGAAGGTGGAGGTCTGGAAGTGGTGCAACTTGTCGGAGTTCATCGTGTGAGTGTCCCTGCTCAGGCACTGGGCTTGCCCTCGCCCCGCCCTCGCCCCGCCCACGCCCCGCCCTCGCCCCGTCCACGCCCTGCCCTCGGCATCTGTGCCCCGCATGCTCCGAGGTCCACTCCAAGCCTCACAGCCCTCCGCTCCCCTCACGGACCACACTGGCAGCTCCAAACTGGACACTCCAGGCTGTGTGTCTCCCATTCCTCTGAGCGAGGTCATGTCTCTGGGAAACCCTGACACCCACTGCCCTTCCTGAATTGGGTTAGTGCCCTGCCCTGGCGTGCCTGCCTCTCTTCACGGTCCATGCTGGGTGGAAATTGTCATTTTGGGTTTTCTTCACAGCACCGGCCAGGGCTGGGTTTGTAGTCAGGACCAGTGGACCCCAGAGAAACTGAACCCCGCTGGTTTCTGCCTGGTGCGGCGGGAGCAGTGCCTCACCACAGAGGGCCCCACGTTCTAGAAGCTCCCGAGGTTTTTGATCTCCTCTGGTCACACCTAGCATCAAGTGTCAAGGTGGCCCTTTCACCTCCTCAGAAATCACCAACGGGCTGTGCCCGCCCTCCTCCACTTCCCACTTGGCCATCTCAACCTGGTGCGCTGCTGGCGGCCGCAGCAGACTCACACTGTCCTGTGAGCCGCGCCTGCCTGGAGGCCCCATCCTCCCTGGGAGCCCCGGGTTTGCTCAGTTGCATCAGCCCTTTCCCCTCCAAGACCCCAGCCCCTGTGCTCTCTGCCCCCAGTGGCTGTTCTAGGGGCTTCCACACCCAACTCCCCAGGGGACAGTGGCAGGCCCCTCGCAGACATAGTCGTTCGCTGAACCAAACGCTATGAAATTTCTGTGTCTGCTGGGAAAGGGGGCTGGGGGCTCGGGAAGGGGCTTGGCCAGGCTTCCTCTTGTCCTCTGAGCCTGGCCTGGACGCCAAGCCTGGAGTGGACACACAGGGGTCAGGGGTAAGGGAGGATGAGGTGGGCGCTTCCCATCCTGTGCCTTTGTCACCTGCTAAAGCCTCAGTGAGGAGATCAGACATCCAGCCCTGGGGCCTGAGGACAGCAGAGGGGGAAGCCAGGAGGGGGGTCTGGGAGTTGGAGAGAGAGGGGCCGACATCCACCTGAGTAGGAAAATGTGCCTGGCGGGAGAGGGAGTGTGACGGGGGCGGTTTGCTTCGCTCCTGGCCTCTGCATCCCCCTTTCCCATCTGGCCTATGGCTGCGTCGTCTCTTGCTCTGGAAGCCAGACTGAAGGGAGGACATGGGGAGGCCCTGGGTGACCAGGGGACGCTTGGGAAGCACAGACCCTGTCGTGACCCTGGTTCTGTGATGTCACACAAACAGCAGCTTCCTTGTGAAGGACACCCTGATTTCATCTCCAGCCTGAACTTGGGCTGGCGAGTTAACAGGGCTTGGGAGCTGTGTGTGCAAATGTGTGTGCAAATGTGTGCGTCCCTGCCTTCTGCCTCCCCAGCCCAGGGAAGGGCGGGATGCTGGGATGTGGGAGTTGGCCTCTACAGCTCTTGCCATGTGCCTGAGTGCCCGACCTTTCGGTGTCTTTTATCCTAAACGTGTTTGCTACTAAAATTCGGAGCCACTTCCCAGTGTTATTGGGAAGCACCAGGTGTGGGCATTCTGCGCCTGGCCCCGTAGGTCGATCCACGGAGATGGGTGTTGTGCTCAGCTCTGCCCCATTCCTGGCCTTTGGGGCTCACCCCGAGACCTCACTGAGCACCTACTATGTGCCAGGCACTTGCCAGAAGTGTATTCACTTCACCTCATTTGGTCCTTTCAGTCACCTTATCCGATAAGAATTATGAACCCCATTTACAGGCGGGGAAACTGAGGCTCACGGAGGCTAAGTAACGTGGGCAAAGTCAGGAAGATGGTCAGTGGCCTAGCTGGGATTGAAGGACATTGATTCTTCAGCCTGACCCCTAAGCTGCCGTACTGTGCTGTTTTCCGTGCATGGGGGTCACTCGGGCCACACACCACTCCCCAGCCCCTGCAGGCTTGCTGTCCACAGTGGGGCTTCCCCCAGCTCCATCTGCTTCGTTTCAGCCCTACTGAGCCCTGGGGTGGGCCGGGGCTTGGCAGGGTGTCCGGTTCGAGGCTCTGTCTGGGGTGGCAGGTCACTGATGGGGCCCAGTGGGAGGGGTGGGTCTTGAGGAGTGATGGGTTTGCCTGAGGACCTGCCTGGTGTGGTGTTCCAGAGCCTGAGCATGTCCCAGGGGCCACATCATTGCTCTGCACACAGATTCCAGGCCGTACCCTTTGCTTCCCGCTCTCTTTTGCCTCGTGTGGCTCTCCCTTGTCTGCGTTAGCTGAGGGGTGCAGGGCAGACGTGTGCCTGACCAGCAACCCAAGCGTCTGGACTGGGAAACTGCCCATGGCTGCCAGGAGGCGTGGGTACTACGAAGGCCTGGTTGAGTGATTAGCTGCCCTGTTTCCCACCGCCTTTCCAGGCAGAGACGAGGTTCTGTACAGGAAGCTCCTTGCAGGAAGCAGTTCCTTCCTGTTGCTCAGGCCAGGCCACTCTCCCTGGGTCCGCACCGGAGGGAGGAGGGGGGTCACAGGGCCTGGTGCCTGTGGGGACCTGAGGCAGGAGCCTCTCCCGCTCCCATACCTGCCCCGCATGCAGCACTCTGCTAGCTGCAAGAGAGTGTGGGCAGTGGTGGAGCTGGCGCACCTTGCCACGTGTCTGACCAGCCCTCTCACCAGAGCACCTTGGACAAGGGCTGCCAGCCTAGGCCACCACCCCCAGAGGCCACTAATTCCAGGCCAGCTGGCCATGGGGCTGAACTCTGGGTCCTGGTAGCTGTAGCCCTTGGTTGGCTTCAAGGACCATCCAGAGCCTGCCCGCTGGATGGACATGGCTCCTCATGGGTGGTTTGCTGAGTGCCCTTTCCAGTTGACTGACACAGACAGGAAGACCCTGGGGCGGGGGGAATCCCACGTGTCCTGTCAGATGGGGGCTGGGGGAGGTGACTTCTGAGAGGAAGACAGGCCGGGGCTGGGCTCACAGGTGGGACACGCTCCCTCAAACCAGGTAAATGAGGGCAGGCTGACTTGACTGGGAGGCTGCTGGCCCTCGGCCTGCCTCAGAGAGACCTCCCCGGGGGGCCTATAGAGTGGCCTTAGGTGACAAGGGCCTTGCAGGTCCAAGTGGCTGTGACTCCACACATCCCTTGGTCTTGGAAAAAGAAGCCAGGCCCAGAGTACCCTCTGGGAAGACCTGAGAAGTGCTGGCCCAGACCTTGGGCGTTGGGACTTCATGTCCTCATAGGAAGCAGGTGACGCTGTGGATGACCAAGATGAGGCAGGGATGACGTAGGAGGTGCAGGATGGGGCATGAGATATTTTGGGGAGCTCATGGCATCAGAGTTTCCTTGCTGGGCTCTGCTGCCTCTGTTTTAAGATGGGAGGGCCAAGAGTTGGGCTCGATGACACCAGGCTCTGTGCAGAGGTCATTGTCTGCTGGGGTGGGCATGAGGGGAATCGAGTTTGTGACGCGGCAGCCTGCGAAGGGGAGCAGAACGTGTCTGTGCACCTTGGGGAGGGGGCTCAGGGAAGGTGAAAGCGGGGCTGAGGCCTAGAGGTGGGAAGCAGGGCATGGGGTCTCCATGCCAGAGAACCTCTGGGCAAGGACGCCAGGGAGATGGACCCTGCTGGCCCAGCAGGCCCAGTAGGGCTCATAGCAGGAGGTCTTCCCCTGTGGCCTGGGGCCATGACGAGAGCAGGCAGCCAGACAGGACTGCCCCCCACTTTCCCGGCGGTCAGGGCCAGAGTGAGGAGGGGCAGAGGAGCCAGGCGGTCAAGCCCTCTGCCTTTGCAGGTACTACGAGAGCTTCACCAACTGCACCGAGGTGGAGACCAACGTGGTGGGCTGCTACTGGCCCAACCCCTTGGCGGAGAGCTTCATCGCTGGGGTCCACAGGCAGTTCTTCCAGAACTGCTCCGTGGACAGGCCACACTGGCAGGACCCCCCAGACGAAATTCTCATCCCGCTCATCGCAGTGCCCGTCCTGCTGGCCGTCGCCATGACCGGCGTGGTGGTGTGGCGCAGCAAACGCACCGACCAGGTGGTGTGAGGGCCCGGGAAGTCCGAGGGGCCCCGCCTGGAGAAGCGGAAGAAAGTTCTCCAGGGCTGGGAGAGCCGGTGGACACCCTTCGGCTGCCCCCCACCCTGCCTGGGCGGCCTTTGGGCTGGCGAAAGAAAACGTGCCGCGGCTGGAGCCTGCGTGCTGGGCACAAGTCACCGCTGCTTCGCCCGCGGTGTCCCAGGCTGGGCTGGGGACTCGGGGTTCCTAGCACTGAGTCCCGTGGTGCCCCATCTGCAGCCCCGGCCAGACCCCGCCTCCCAACTGACTCTACCCCTGGCCCCAGCCCAGCCCTGGCTCCACCCCTTGGTTCTGACTCCACCTCTGGCCCTGACCCCACCTCCAGCCCTGGCCCCACCCCCAGTCCTGGCCCCACCTCCCACTCTGACTCCACCCCCAGCCCTGGCCCCACCCCAGCATCGCCCTGGAAAGGTGTGCCTATTCCCACCTGGCTGGGGGCTGGGGGAAGAGAGATTGGGAGGGGGTTTTTGTAGGTCCTCGCTTCGCAGGCTTTGAGTCCTCTTGGTAGGGAGCCCACCTAGAGATCTGGAAGACTGAGGGTTGGGTTGGGGGTTCCAAGGAGCCACAGCACAGCCTGAGACCTGCTTTCTGGGGCCACCACCAGGGGCTGGAGCTGGGTGGGCCTTCCTAACGGTTCCCCGCTGTGAGCACGGCCTCTGGGTGGGGTCCCCTGCGCTCTCGTTCTGGCTGAGCTCTGTCTGCCATGTCTGTGCTTTCTCTGAGTAAAGAGTCATGCTACTTCTGGGGTTTCCAGTTTTATTTCAGGGAATTCACAGAGACCCCACCTGGCCTCTTAGAACTGGCAAGTCTCCCATGCCCATTTTACAGATGGGGAGTGCCTGAGGCTCCAAAATGTCAGAGCTCAGAGTGGCAAAGAGAACTTCATACCAGGGGAATGTGGGCGGGCAGGAGGGATCTACCCATCCAGCTTGCAGAGGTTTTGTGCTTCCCACTGGCACCCTGCGCTTTGAGGATGGAGGGGAGACTATCCTTCCAGCATTTCAAGGTCGCCTAGGGCTTGCCAAGACCTGCACCTGGTCCTGGGGACCTGGGAACAGCTGGCGGGGGCACTTTGTCCGCAGACCTCTCGCTGGACCTTGTCCATGTTCCAGGTCTGGGGCCGAGGCTTCTGGATGTGGGCTGTTGGCTTCAGCACGGTCTTGCTGGGGACCAGAGGTGGGCCATGGCTATGAGTGGACGTGGAGAGAATGTGGCAGGGCAGCCCCTGTGTCCGTCAGAGGCCCCGCCCCCCTTCCTGCCCAGAGATGTGGTGGTCCCCTGAGCCTGCTGGTCCCCTCCAGGTGCCCAGAGGTGCGGGTAGGGGCACAGTGTAGGGACAGAATCTGAAACTCCTGGCACTTCTGCTTCGTGAGGCAGCTTCGGCCGAGGAACAGAAGCCTGTGGTCTGAATGTGAACCCACGGTGACTCCAGCGCATCTCCCGCTACCTGAGCCTCCGCTGGTCATCTTCGCTTGATGTCTGACAGGTGACATGGCCTCTGGAGGCCGGGGTGCGGGGTCAGAGTGCTCACGGGTCTCAGACCATCTCAAACCTTTAAAATGTTGGCCCACTTCTCAGATGATGTCCTGGGGGGCGTGGCTGCCTTGATGGGTGTGCAGCCCAGCCCCTGGCTTGCCCTGGCCACACCGTGTTTGAGGGCCTCTGGAGCACATGCTGTGTGTGCCTTCCCCTCCCCAGGGGTCCTCACTTCCTGGGTTCCATAAGAAGCTGGGCCCCCACCAAGAGGCTGCTGCTGTGTGCAGATGGCCGTCAAGTGGCCCTTCTTGGCTGCGGACCCCACCCTTACCAAGAGTGGTGACCCTTGCAATCCTGGGCCAGGCACCGGGCCACCCGACCACCCCCCTTAGCTCTACAGTGCACTTTCTTCCCTATGCTAACTTTAGAGACCTCCTGGCCCCACTGAGACCCCCGACCCCTAGGCCAGCTCCGTCCAGCTCTGGCTCTCTGCCTTCCCCCCCGCCCAGCCTGAATCCTGGTCAGTGGACTACTGGTCATGCCTTTGCGTGCTCTGTCAGCCCCTTGGCCTTCTCGTCTTTCACTGTGCTCATTGGCAAAACCAGGGCACGGCTAACCCAGTTCTTTGCTTCCTTGAACCTGCAGTGGGGCTGCTGAATGTGTCGGGTGAAGAACGCACAGGGATGCTGTGTCAGCACCTACTGCTGGGTAACAAATATCACAGACTTCAAGGCTGGAAGTAGTCCAGCTCTGCAGCCTGGAGTCGGGGTCCAGGTTTGCTGGTTCTCAGTGCAGGGTCTCTCCAGACTGGAGCCAAGATGTCATCCGGAGCTCGGGGTTCTCGCCCAGGCTCACGGAGTATGGCAAAGGCCCGTTGAAGGGCTAAGGGCCCCATTTCCTGTGGCTGTTGGTGGGGCTGCTCCTAGCTCCTAGAGGCCCTGCACATGTTCCTGGCTACATGGCCCCCTCCGTCTTCAAAGCCAGCAAAGGAAACTGTAAATCATATTGACCCCTGTGACCTCTAGACTTGGATTTATTGGGGGGAGTCATATGATCGGTAAGCCCGCCAGGATAATCTCCCTATCTGAAAGCCAGTAAAGTTGAGACCTTAATCACATCTGAGAAATCCTGTTGCCCTGGTTAGAGTTTGATTGAATAATCGGAGATGGTGTGTGTCCACCAGGGTGGGGACCCCAGGACATCTGGGACCCCCGCCCCAACCCCAGCCCCAGTTCTGCCCTTCCCTCTACCTGGGTTTTCCTGGATGTCTCACACCTCCTCCTCTTCATCTCACTCCTTTATTTTGTCGCTGTGTCTCACAATGGCAGAGGGCTGGTTCCCTCCGTCTGGCACACTAAGTGTCACCCCTGTGCCCTGCACACAGTGGCTCTTGCTTTGTATCAGTTGAAGGCGGGTGGGGAAGAGGATCCAGCAAAGGACGTGGGCTGTGAGTGATGGAGGGTGCAGGGAGCAAGGTGTCTCTAGGGCCGGTCCGGCAGTCTGATGTCCTTTGTGCACATATTTCTAGAAACGTTTATTAGCGTGGGAGTCCCTGGGCACCATTACTGGCCAAGGTGAGGTTGGGACTCTGACTAAGACAAATGCTCCTTGTGCTGTGTGTGTTTGGAGAGTCTGGAGTTCCCTGCACTGAGGTCCTGAGGGCTGGGGGCTGTGGAGCTGCCGCACTGCTGTGGACAGGACTTGGGGGTGGGAGCCCAGGTGCCGGTCCCCACTCACCTCATCAGGAAGGGAAATAAACCTGCATTCAATATTCACCCTGTTCAAGAACTTAGGATCCAGGAATAAGAGGAATGGCTACTCAAGTTTCATATTTGAATCTTTCCTCACATTTTCACCTATTCATGAGTTCTTTTCTGGGATCTGGAGGGTCCTGGGTGCCAGGCCCACACAGGGAACGTGTGTGTGTGTGCATGTGTGTATATGTGTGTGCATGTGTGTATACGTGTATGCATGTGTGTATACGTGTGTGCATGCGTGTATGTGTGTGCATGCGTGTATGTGTGTGCATGCATGTATATGTGTGTGTGCGTGCACTTGTGTCCCTCTTCCCCCAGCTCCCAGACAAGGGGATGCCATGTCTCTCCACTTTCTAGACAAGGAATCTTGATACGGTATTTCCCTGGGAGGGGCAGGATTTCTCATCCCCTCCACCCCAACCTCCATGTTACAGAGACTAAATTTTAGTCGTGAACAGCTGAGATGTCAGGGGTCCCTGCCCCCGGCCAGACCTCACTGGTGTTTGCTGGGGGGCTCTACCCCAGGCATGGCATGCTGAGAATACTGGGGCCCCATCAGTGTCTCTTCAGCTTGCCTCTAAAGTGGAGGTTCCTGCCAGGAGAGGCAGGCTGAGAAGACCAGAAGCTGCCGTCCCCACCCAACATCCTGTTCATAAAGTGGGGGTGTCATGCCACAACCCCAGCTCTGGACAGTGGGTCTGAGATCTTCCCTAGGGGAGAGGCAACCGTAAGGATAGGCAGCTCTGAAGCTCTCTCCATGACAACTGACTATTTAGAATAGAGCGTAGGGAAGTCCAAGCCTAAGGGAGCTCTCAAGAACTGTGGGCATTTTGGTGGTGAGTAGTGGGAAGCGGCTGGCAGCTCCACCATGGAGGTGAGCGTGAGAGGAGGCTGGCAGCTCCATAAGAACACAAGTTAAGCCACAGGCAGCTGGATTTTACCACCAGAGAGAAGTGGGGACAGAGACTAATGAAAAGAGCCCCAGTAGGGTCAGAGCAAACCTCATAGCCTGGCCTTAAAACCACCCCACCAAGGAGCTCAAATTTAATTGGATTAGAATGTGGAGCATTTATGTCCCAGGTCATCGTCAAAACAATGGAGCAGTCAGCCAGACACCAGTGGAGCCTGACAGCTGAGCGTGACACCCGCAGAGACAATAGATTCACACAGAGATCAGACACAGGGACATCAAAGGCAGCCCTGCGGAGCCTCTGTGGTCCTGAGTGTGTGTGGTGAGCCCAGGGCTGGGCTCTCTGAGAATGACATGTGGGATCACACTGACAGCCCAGCCCATCCCCAATTTGTCCTTCGTCCTTCAGTACTCTCCGAGAGCACGTGCAGACTTGCCTCTGTCTTACGTACACAGATCAGCCAGGTGCCCCTCCCCTGGAGGGGGTTGGTGCAAGAACCCTCGACGTGTCCTTGACCGAGGTGTGCTCTGTGTGTTCTGTGTGGACCTCTGCACAATGGTCAGGGTGCTGCAGGGGACCACCTGGGTTTAATCCCAGCCTGACCACTTACGACGTGACCTTTGACAAGTACGTGGCCTCTGCACAGGTAGGTTCCTGGTCTACACAGGGCCTTGGGTGGGTGGGATGAGGTAATCCACACAGCTTGCTGAGCTTGGCACACAGTAGGTGCTCACTGTTGGCTGCTATTATGGAAAGTCTGGGCTAGGGTCTGGACTGGGGAGTCCCTGGCATGTCCCTTCGTGGAGGGTGACACTGTGGGAGTGGA